AAAAAAAAAAAAAAAGAAGAAGAAGAAGAAAGGATAATAGAAGATCTGTCTATTGTTATTCCATATTTCTTTCTAATAACGTTCCCCTTCCCCCTCTGCTAAGGGTCACTAACTTGACTTTCCAGACATACAGGGGGTGGTTCTGTCTCACCTCCATCTGAATCATAACAGTTACAGCATCTTAATCTATTTGGCTCGGGAGGCCCTCAATTCAGTATTGTAAATTGAGCTCTTTAACCTGACTTGTTTCATGTTATTATACAATAATGCTATTCTTGGCTTCTTGTGTAATCTAAGACAGTGCAAAAACTCCAGGTTTTCTGCTTGGATTGTTTGTATTGAAGTTTCTTAACACATTTTGTGGTGAAAAAAAATCAAAATATTCTCATGGGAGCAGGACTTAAAACTGGGGGCAGATAATCTCTGTCTTGGCAGGATTTTCTTCCCTAGATTTGAAATAATAGGTTTGCTTTTTCTCACCCGTTTTTCCAGTTTAAATATCAACTGTGCTGGGCCATCACGTGTTTGTATGTGGGGTATTTAGTTGTTAGCAAGTTTTTACAGCTACCACTATCTGAAACTATTGCGCTTGTTTTTATATTTACCTGAACACATTTATTTGTTTGTCTCATCCCTAGCCCCATGTAAATCATCTCAAGGAGAGCAGGACCCTTGTCTGTTTTGTTCTTGGTGTGCTTTGTGTCAGATGCTTACTGTTACTAGCATTGACAAAGTTATTGACTGCAAGGAGTATTGGAATGCTTTGGGGCTTGGGTGGCTTCCCTTATCATATTCCCATTTTTATTTCAGCATTGGAGAGGGGTCTCTTGAAAACACTGCAGAAACTGGATGAGTATCTGAATTCTCCTCTCCCTGATGAAATTGATGAGAACAGTATGGAGGACATTAAGTTTTCCACACGTAAATTTCTGGATGGCAACGAAATGACATTGGCTGATTGCAACCTGCTGCCCAAACTGCACATTGTGAAGGTAGGTTCGTAGGAAATGGTGTCACATTAGACCCAGTATTCTGTGTCCTATGGTAGCACTAACTGTGTGCATAAAGCTTTTCTGATATTCTGGAAATATGACTAGGACCCCCCCCCCCAAGAGTATAGTTTAATGCTGTTTAGGCAATAGTTGAAACACCCTAGAGTTAATCAAATGGAAAATTATGTCTTAAAATTGAGGCATATGAGAACGAGGAATATTATTTTTTTTTCCTGTGACTGCATAAAAATTCAAAGATGTAACAGGTACCTTTGAATTGGAGTTTGCTACACTGACTTATATCATCAAACTCTGTTCTGTGATCACCCAGCTTTTTCTAGTCAAGGCAAAAAATATTTATTGTGTGAGACACGGTGCTGAACAGAATAGTAATAAACACTAGTTGAGCAATCACAATCAAGAAAAACAGATCTAAAACAGTGTGTGCATTTTAAAGTATTTCTCCAGTGATGACACTTGGCTGTCTCTCTGGATAATCAGGACAGTCATTTGCAGTCACTGTTACACCCCTGAATCACTGGTGTAGTTCACAGTCCTTATCATTGTTTAAATTTCTAGTTCAAACGGAGGTGACTTCTGACTTCATTCTCCACCTCTGATGAAATTGATGAGAATAGTATGGAGGACATTAAGCTTTTTTTTTTTTTTTTTTAATAGAAGCACTAGTAAGAGATATGTTTGGTTTACGGGACATGGAAAATAAATGTTAACTTTTGATTTCTTTGTATTTCAGGTGGTGGCCAAAAAATATCGCAACTTTGATATTCCAAAAGGAATGGCCGGCATCTGGAGATACTTAACTAACGCTTACAGTAGGGACGAGTTCACCAATACCTGTCCCAGTGACAAGGAGGTCGAAATAGCATACAGTGATGTAGCCAAAAGACTTACCAAGTAAAATAGCACTTATGAGAGAAATGTCTTTACACCTTTCCTTGACTAAGAATATGCTTTTCCTAACAGACTGCTCCTCTTCCTATAAAGTAGAAATTTTATTTTGCATGAACATGGCAGTTATTCAAGATTAGGATAAAGGATAGACAAGGTATAGTAGCTATCTTTGAACATACACTCCTCAGCAGTATTATTTTAAAATTGTTTTATCCTGCCTACCTCCCCTACCCCACTTCCTTCTCTCCTCTAATTTGGAGACACTTCATCACAAACGTTTCACGTTAGAGGTAGTTGGCCATCTCTCGAGAGCCCTCACCATTGTGTCCATTCACTGTGTATAGATGGCAGGACTTTTGAGGTGCAATGTTTGACAGTTAAAATAGCAACCATGACCTCATCAGTCAGCCCCAAACTGGTGCATAATGCATGGTACAAGGAGTATTTATGTATTTTTTTGGAACTTTATAATATTTAGTAAGAGTATATGAAAGGATTGCTACTGTATCAAAATCCTGTTTCAATTTAGTCTATCCTGGATATGTACTAAGGGTGTTACCACCAGAGAAGAGAGCCTTCTACAGAAAGTCACTACAGATTTTGCTATTTGACTTTGTACTTGGATTTTTACTTTTCCTGAAAGCATTTATTCTTTATACCAATGATAACACCTGACACTATGTAGAAGCTAAAAGTTTAGAGGGAGGGATGATATTCGCACGATCTTCCTCAAGCGTTCTATCCATAGAAGAGAAACCATTGGGCCGCCTGATCCTCTGTCTAGATGTGTTTGTTGTATGCGTTTTGCCCAGTGCCATTCATTTGGAACATTATTGCTTTCTTCCTTTATTTTAAAAAGCTCCTTTTTAAGTAAGCATAGACCTTACTGTTTGTAGATCTTTTGAGCAACACTACATAAACTGATATTTAGTTGATTTAGCTGTAACACAGTATAATGATTAGTAAGGTAAAAATTAACACTTTACAGAAATTAACCTAAGGAATGTAGGGTGGGTTTGTCAAAATATCAAGTAGAATTTTCGTCTCTAAAGCGTATTTAATGTGGGTAATCTGAAGAACACATTATCCATCCTATATTAAAAACAAGATAAAACACAGGTTACCAGCTTTCCCATCCCACCCCCATTTACTGTTAGACTTTGGGTGAAGGCTGGGTCACTTCTTTTGCACTAAATTATTGTTGTTGTGGTGAGTACGTTATTACCACAGTTTTGCCTAATCTCAATCATTGTGTTTCCTTCAGTTAAATTTTTCTACAGCCACATTGAGGAATAGCACTCTGCGTGTTTGTTTTGTTTCTTTTAAATTGAAGTCCTAAACCAGGGATTATTTGTGCTCTAACAAAGGAGGATGAACTTTGTGAAAATAAAACAAAAGTTTGCTATGTATTTATTCTTTTTTTTTTTTTTTTTTTTTAAATTAGACTTTCTAAGTACTACTCCAAAGCCGGGGTTGTAACTGTATTACATTTTTGGTAATTTTTTTATACCTAACTTGTTTTAAGAAGTGCTATTTCTCATAGGCTGTTTTTGGAAATTTTAAGTATATTGCTTTAAAATGGCCACGATTTTCCCCCTTTGATATGCTAACACTTAAGAAGGACTGGCTTTATGGAAGTAGTCTGATTTTTATAAGCGTACTGCGTTGTCTAACCTATCAGTAATGAGCTGAGTATAGAAAGATAAGAAAAGCTCCATATTGTATCCATTTGGCTCAGGGAGATTTTTTTTTTTTTTTTTTTTTGCTTTACCTTTCTTAGAACTCCTTATTACTGATGAAAAAGTTTGGGCACCCACCTTTTTGTAATTAAATATTGAATGGTGATTTATCTGGTTCCAGGAAGAAGCACTATCAGGGTATCTGTTGAGAAATTCTATAGCAGTAGCTTCAGTGGGTGAAAAATGTCACATTTGCACCAGAACACAGACAGCCATCATCACCTTTCACCTATTTTTTAAATAGTGGTAACGTGGCATGCAGGTGCTATTGAACCTTGCCTCAAAGCTTAAAGTATGAAAAAGATTCAAAACAAGGGGTGTCTGTTCTTTCAAGTGAGTGGTGGGACTGAGGAGTGCACTGAAGTGTGGAGGCCAAAGGAGGAAAGAGCAGCGTTTCTTAAGAGTGTTGAAAAACACACTCTGAAACTCAACTGTGGAGTGTTTTGACCTTGGCTGTTCTCTTTGTTTATTAAAATATTTACCCCAGGATTCCACATCGGCTGTCTCGATGTCCAAGGAAGGCAGGTCTACTGTTACGATTATGATGAAGGCAGAATTATTTTTCTCTGTAGAAAGACAGACCTTATTACTTTATCAGGGAAGTTAGTCAAATGGAGTTGAGATTGGCAAATGGACAAAAGCCAGTAAAAAGGATGATCTAGAACATGCTCTTTACCCCATCTTATATGTGTGGAAAGATGATAGCTAAAATTGTAGGAGATTTGGGACATAAAAGTTTTCATGGCAATTCATGTAGTGTATACGTTGACATGATGGAAATCATCTGATATTATTTCTGCGACTACTGAATCATTTCCCCCCTTTATTTAAACCAACGAGGAGATGAGAGTCTGAACGGAAGCTATCACTATTTCCCAAGGGATTCTGAAAAATTTTTGTATTCAATAGTTGGAAAGCTTTCTACCATTTCAGTTGATATGACTTCCTTTAAAAAAAATGTAAATGCGGATTTTCTATACAGTTCTGTTATTTCCTTTTACTAGGATTGTTGACATGACAAAATTCATATAAGATTTTATTTCTTGGTAACTTTGGCTTTCACAACTTATCTTTAGACCCTTGTGCAAACTATACAATTAAGAGATTTCTGACATTTATTCTTAACCCTAAGTTGATCAACTCTAGAATTTAGGCACTTTTACTTGAGTTGAGTTTTGGATCGCTCCAGAGTTGCATGTAGATAGCTTTTATTTCTGTGCATTTAAAATATCCATTTAGAAAATATCTACAAGGTAAAAATGATAAGAAATAGAAATGTATTTTTTCATGAACATTTTGATACACATTTCATCAAGTTTATTGATTAACCAATTTCTTACACTGGTTATACTATTCAAAGAGAGGGAAGCATTATTGATACACTATGTGGGCTTTTTTATTCCATTCTTTACAAATTATCAAGGTTGGGGCTGTCAAAATTATATTTTTATCATGGAAAATAATTTCAACTCCCAAAGTCATAATGTTGAACAGAATTGGAGAATTTTCTTTAGAATTACTTGAAAAGGCGAATGAAAGCTTATTATAGAATGCTTGTATTTTCTTTTGTTTCTCTGGAACCAGTATATTGCTGGCAGCTATTGTATTAAAATAAAGTATATTTTCACTATCATAAAAGGTTCTTTTTTCTCCCCCCTCATGAAAATAAATAGCAACTTGGGGTAAAAGTTTTATTTGAGACTACTTTTTTTCCACGAGTGGATGATTCAGTATAATCAATAGATTAAAGGCGAAAAACCATATCATTTTAATAGGTGCATAAAATAATTTCATAAAAGCTTTCATGATACTCATTCTTAGCAAAATAGGACTGGAGGTAAAAAAAAATTTTTTTTAACCTGATAAAACACATCTGCCCAGAACCTATTTCAAGAGCAAATTTCATATATAAACATGAAACAGAAGTCCTCTCATTAAAGTCAGGAATAAGATAGGATTGCCCTCTATCATATCTATTATCCAGCCATTTTCCATAGCTACTTTATATTAGAGGCATCCTAGCCAATGCAGTAAAATCGGTAAAAAGAATAAAGAATGGAAAAGAATCGACCAAATGGTTGCTCTTTGCAGATGAATGCATATACATAAAAGAAATAAAAAATAACCTACCGTTAGAAATAATAAGAAAATTCAGCCAGGTTACTAGATACAAAATTGAGGAACAAAGATCAATATAACTACTATATACTAATATTCACCATATGAAAAATTAGTAGATAAACTAGTAACATTGGTTTCTTCTGGAGAAAAAAATGGGTAACAGGAAAATGGGTGGGAAATTGTCACTGTATAATTTTTTGAGCTTTTAAAATGTGTAACCCATATATTATCTGTTCTTTAAAAGAGTGCTTTAAAAGATAAACTGTAAGAAAGATATTTAGGATCAAATCTAATAAAGAATGTGTAATTCTTTTATGAAGAAAAGTACAAAATATCAAAGGACCTAATAGAAATCTGTTCAGTGGATAGGTATACCATGTTCATGGATGGAGAGCTTAAAAGCATAAGAATTTCAATTCTGTCTCAGGTGTTTTAGAAATTCAATATATTTTCCAACAAAATCTCAAAAGGTTTTTTTTTTGGGGGGGGGGAACTAGATAGATTAAAAAAAAACAAACCATATGGAAGAATTATGTCCCCCAAATAGCCAACATATATCTGGAAGGGGGGAGGGAAAAAAAGGAAACTTGCCTGAAAATATAAAGACTTAAAAGCTTACAGTAATTGATGGGTAGGATATAGTAGGTCACAGCAACATGATACTGCTATAACTACCAAGGGGAAAAAAAGTGATTTAAAGTGCCAACGTAATATTTTTAAACATCAGAAAACTGGAAGCAATAAAGACTAAATAAATTGGAATTTCAGAGGAGGAAGTCTTTCTGAGGTGAACTGATGATGGTCTAGCTGTTTCTCCCCTGGGGACAGTTGCTGATTCTGGGCCTGGAACAGGTTTGGGTTTGGTCCATGGAGAGGGGCTCTGCTGGAGGAAAGAAAATCACAAGGTTCATAGTTATTGGGCACACTGGAAATCTGAGACACCCCAAATACAAGACTGGTTTTCTCACAGGACACTTGCTGAACTCCAGAGCTCTACATGGCTTGCTAGAAGCTAAGCCTAGGGCTTCCAAAAGACAGAGTGAAATCTCCCATAATATTAACATTTAGGAGACAAAACTTTTTTTTTTTTTAACAAGAGAACAAATCCATTTTATTTACTTCTCAGTAAATTTAAATCCTTGAGGGGTACAGGATTCTGAGTCCTATGGCCTTGGCAGGAAGGTTGCTTTGGAACTTGGCACGAACCATGCCACTGTTTCTATGAGCATGAGTTACCTTTCCCCGGATTACTCTGGTTTTATTCGGTTTGAACACCAGGAGTCACTGTGTTGTTCTTTTCCTTGTACACATAAGCACATCTCTTGCCTAGATAGAACTCAGTTTCATCTCAAGCACAAACACCTTCAATTTTAAGAAGAGCTGTGTGTTCTCGCTGGTTCCGGAGACCCCACTTATAGCCAGGAAAAATGGCTTTGGACCACAGCCTTCCAGACATACTTGTCATTTTGGAAGTCCTGTTCCCAGTAGGCCTCCACAGGCTCCAAGATGGCGGAAAAAGCAGGAGACAAAACTTTGTTAGAGGGGTTTTCCCAAAACACAGAAATCAGCCTTGTGGTTGCCTGGCACTGGGGTGGGAGTGGGAATTGACTGCAAACAGGCATGAGGGATCTTTCTAGGATGATGGAACTGTTGTAAATATGGCTTGTAGATAAGGATCTAGCATCCAGTTAAATAAAGAATTCTTACGATTCAATAATAAAAAGATCCCAATTTTAAAAAAGGGCAAGGGTTTGAATAGACCTTTCTCCAAAGAAGATATACAAATGACTAATAAACACAAAGGAAGCTTAACAGTATTAGTCATCAGGGAAATATAAAATGGAACCATTAAAAACACCCTCTAGGATTGCTATAATCAGTAAAATGGACAATTATAAGTTGACAATGATGTGGAGAAATTAGAACTCACACGTTGCTGGTGGCAATGTAAAATGCAGCTGATCTGGAAAACAGGCTGGCAGTTCCTCAAAAAGTTACCCAGCAATTCCTCTCCTAGGTTTATAATTAGGAGAATTAAAAACATGTCCATTTATCTTGTACACGGAAGCTCGTGGCATCGTTATTCATAATAACCCCCAAATGGAAAACTCAAATACCCTTTAACTGATGAATGGATAAACAAAATATATTCATAAAATGGAGTACAATTCAGCCATTAAAAAGTACACACAAGCTACAATGTGAATGGACCTTGAGAACATTAAGCTCAGTGAAAAGACCACATGATTCCATTTACATAAAATGTCCAGAATAGGCAAGTGTAGAGATAGTAAATTAATGGTTGCCAGGAGCCGGGGGAGGAGAGAATGGGGAGTGACTGCTAATCGGTGTGGGGTTTCTTTTTGGAGTGATAAAAATGCTCTGGAATTAGATAATGGTGATGGTTGCACAACTTTGAATATACTGAAAATCACTGAATTGTATGCTTTGAAAGGGTGATCTTTACGGTATATAAATTATATCAAAAAAGGGGGGCAACTGCAAGGTGGAAATTCTGCCTTGCTAAAGTTTTGGATAATTAGTGTATTGACATGTTGATTGGCAAAGTAAGTGATGTGTTTGAATTTCAATTTAAATGTCATTCAAAATATATTCTTAAAAAGGAAAATAAATAATTGTGTTAGTGGTTGCTCAGCTCTACATTTACTAAAAATCATTTAATTTTGTTCACCTAAAATGGGTGAGTTCTACAGTTTGTAAATTATACCTCAATAAAGTTTTCTTTTTAGAAAGTTAAAAAGCACAAATCTAAAATTAGGAATTCATTGTTTGGATTTAACAGCAGACTGGACACAGCAGAAAGCAGGATTAGTGCTTGAAGATAGATCAATAGAGAAAAATCCAAACAATGATAGTAAGAAAATGCAAAAACCAAACGACAAATACAAGCAAAGAACATAAAAGACATGGAGCACAATCTAAAGATAGGTGTAATTGAAGTCCCACGCAGAAAGGGAGCGGGGCAGAAGCAATAGCTGATGAAATAGTGGCAGAGAACTTTGCAAAACTGTTGACAGATGTCAGCCCACAGTCACAAAAACTCAGCAAACTCCATATGAAATAAAAACAAATCAAACCTAAACATATCATAGGCAAACTGCTGAAAACGAAAGAAAATCCTAAGGACAGCCAGAGAGAAAGGACATAAACTTTGAAGGAGTAACAATAAAACCAGTGGCTGACTTTTCAGCACAAACTTTGGACGATGGGGAACTCTATAAAGTGCCATTATTTGGCAAGTGGTAAAAGTACCAATTTAAGAAAACTATAATAAATCACAGATAAATATTGTAATTTTTAGGCTAACTACTAAGAACTATAAGAATAACTTTAAGGGCCGGCCGAGTGGCGCGATGGTTAAGAGCTGGCTCGGGACACCAGAGGGCCCCGGTTTGGATCCCACATATGAGGGCCAGTGACACTGCCCTCTACAGCTAAGATGCTGAACAACAGCTCAACCTGGAGCTGGGCTGCCATGAGTCGCCGGCAACGGCGTAGCCTGCGGCCCCTGTGGCAGTGGGTTGCCATGAGCTACAGTGTGTAGCCAGCAGCCAGCGTGAGTGGCCAGCAGCCGCTGTGAGTGGCTGTCCAGAAGCCGGCGACTGATCTGCCTCGCCTGGGAAGAGCGCAATGATGGTGCCACTTGGGCCAGTGAAGCGACGTCCTCTATAACTAGACTGAAGAACAAAAGGATAGCAACTTGTCTGTTCCCTTTCCCCCAATTCCCCAATAAAAAATCTTTATTAAAAAAAATAAATAAAATAACTTTAAGATTCAAGGGGAAAATGGAATTAAAAAAAATATCTAATGAATCCAAAAGAAAGCAGGGTAGAGTACTAAAGGAACAAAGGATAGGACAAATTGGAAAAAAATAACAAAAGTTTGGCGATAAACCCTCCACCATTAGTAATTATGTTAAATGTATGTGGGCTAAACAATTGGATTAA